AGGGTGACAGCTTGAGGCTCTGTCTCAAAAAAAAAAAAAAAAAAAAGTATGAGCTTAAAATCTTACCTTAACATCCTCAAATTCATTGTAAACATCTTAAAATTTCCAAATACACACATATTATGTGATTATTTTTGTGTTTATAATTGCGAGATGATTTGTTAGGGCCCCTTATCCTTCAACTGTTAGACTGCTCTCTTATTAAGGAGCCCTAGGAATTAATTATGTTTTTTGTTTTCTGTATTATGATATCTTGACATTTTAAAAATCTTGCTGTCTGGGGATAGACTGCCCCTCCCAGAGCTTGCTACTCATAATTCCTAAAGATAGTAAACAGCTTGAGTTCATGCCTTCTACAGGCATACCAGCCAATCCCTTTACCTAACTTTTATATACCAAGCCAATATTTCCTCTGTTCAAAATCATCCTAGGATTAGGTTATCAGGCAACTGGAGATCATCCCTATAGCTCAAAGCCAGTCATCACCTGTTTACTGTGCCTCACCTTTCCCTGGGAAAATATTGCAAATGCTCTGCCCTAGGTTTTCCCCTAGCTCCTGCTTCTGCCTCCTGACTAAAGCCTGTTGTTCTTCCTGTGACCCTGCATGGTGTGCTATGCCTCTCATTTCTAGGTGAACTGTGAGTATACTTACTTCAATGTCACTGACTCCTCTACATCCTTTACAAATTAAGACCCAGCTACACATTAGTCTCCCTGGGCTGCAATATTACAGCATATTACAGCACTTCTTGGTGCTCCCATTTTTTCCATTGTGTCTACCATGTTCTAATAGTTAAGATAATTTCATGTATATTTTATATTTCCTTCTCTCTTTTCTTTGAATACAATGAAACCTCATTGAAAACTGAGGTCTTTGTTTCTTATTTGTCTCTTGTTTGTAGGTGTCCCAGGCACTTAAATAATGCGTCAAATGTAGTAGGTAGTCGTTGAACATTTGTTATAACCATAAATAAGCATAATACTATAGCATCTCTTCATTCTGACAACACTTTCTAAATGTTGTCTTTAATAAGAACACTTTCTGACCCCACAACAGATAATACTCTGTATTTTCACAAATGCAAAGAAATTACATTTTGGAGATGAAACCTGCTGTGGTTAAGTTCTAACACAACTACATGCTCTTTTTCAGTCTCCTACTCAAATTTTGCTGATATCTAAACTTTTCACGTGCCACAGAACATGTTTCCTCAGAGTCATTTCTGCATATATCTTTGAATAGATATAGAATTATTAACTTTCAGTAATTTAAGTAATTCACAAACTTTTTTCTCTTTCCTCCTTTCCTCTTTTTCTTTCCACAAATAACCTCAACTTTCAATTGAGACACTTCTGTAATTGCAGGTGAAATGTGTGAAGTGCGGATTGTGAGGTGGCAAGACCTCCAAGCCGGGGAGGTGCATTCAAGGGATGATCCCCAAACTGCTTCTCCTCCCTTCTTAAAAAACACCTTGCTCCCTCTGTCAGAAGTCACATAGCTTCTGTATACTTTTCTATCTTTTGCCTAAAAGCACATAGCCTTCTCTCCCTAAAGTTAATCTTTATCCCATGTACTATTACTTCCTCTCAACCTTGTAAGATGAAAATATTCCCACTAGCTTTCCTTGCTGATTTGCAACATTCTTAGTATAAGCAACTTTGTTTAGGTACTACATAAATAAAGCTGGTGCTGGCTGCAGTCATCAGTTGTTCCAGACCTCCTTACCCCATCACTTTTATCTCTTGTGTGATCTTTGTCTCTTTATGTGTCTTATTTTCTCATTCCCCACCATTCCCACTCTAGTTTACTCTTCACACTGGCTTGCTAAAGAAATGAGAATCCCTCCCTGGACCAGAAATGCCATCATGGTGTTCTAAATCTTAATTTCCAGATGCAGATGTCACCTTTATATATGTCCTATCACTAGAACCTTGTCAGCACCTGTCTTGGCAGATAAGGACATTTATAATAGTTCCCCTTTCCAGAGAGGTGGCATATTCCTAAAAGGAAATAGCTTTGGAGTTCAGAAATATCATTTGGATAGAAGAGTATTGCACCTTGGCTGGACACCAGTGACTGTGCAGGCTGAAAAGGAGCCTGGCTTAACCACTTACTTCACGAAGGCCGAGTAATCCCACCCATCTTCCTCCTTGTGGCCCTGTCAGATATTTCCTCTGAGGAAAGCAGCGCCACATTAGAGTATTTGCCTCAAAGACTTCAGCATCCCACGTAATAATGGACAGTTCTTCTACTCCATGAGCCTATTCAGGGACCTTTCTCTCTGACCAAAATGAAGATTACAGGACTGATTTAAACCTTCCCTGATTTAAACCACGCATATTTTAAAAGGAGGGAAATATGAGAGGACTCAAAATGACATTGACGTGGTGTGTCCGTTTGGTTTTGCGGTTTGGGTCTGCAAAGAGCAGTCTGAAAGAGCATTTCAGTCCCTGCAAACTGCCCTCCCTGGAATCTAGGTGCGGACCCTTTAAGAGGAGCGAATTGGCGCCCCCGTGCACCATTTCCGAACGCCCCTTAGTGTCCCTAGAGGCCAGGGTCCAGGAGGCCGGCAGTCAACACTCCGCCTTGGCCTATTGGACACTGGGAACTACATTGCCCAGAAACCTCTGCGCCGCGCGGCGGAAACGCGATGCGGGGGTTGTGCGTACGGAGGACGTCGGGGCGGGACTTCCGGTGTCTTCCTCTCGGCGGACATCTTGTCTGCTGTTAGGTGAAAGCGAGAAAGCCGCGGTGATGCCAATGGTGACGGAGGCGGAGAAGTACGGGAGGCGTCGTTGGCCCCACTGCAACGAGGCTCGGCGGTGGCGCCTCTCATGAGGATCCCCGCCTCTGTCTCCATGACCGGGCGCTCGCGGGGCTGAGACTGGTCGTGGTTCCTGCCCTCACCGCCAGGTGCGGCCCAGACTGTGATGGTGGCTAAGATGATGGACCCTGGGCAGGTGGGTGCTGCGTTCCCCAGACTATCACGCGTCCCAACTCTCACTTCCCAGTTCTAAAGCCCCGAATGGGGGAGCGCCTGTTCACGTCACCACCGCCCAGGCCTCTGTGACCAGGGTAGCGGAGCACTCGTGGGTGGTGCCCCAGTTGCTAGCGGCCGGTGTGGGAGAGTGTGACAGGCAGAGGGATTGGCTCCAGCAAAGGCGTGGAGGTGCCTCTGTGCTCAATTGTCCATCTCACGCAGGACTTACCTTCGACTAGTGTTTATCTCCTTGTGGGAGAGGGAGCTGCATGGTGAGGCTCAGAGACTTGTATCATGTAGTTTCCGGGAGCGCAGTTTGCAGGGACGGCTGAACTGCTCTCTCAGATATCCTCCCCACCCCGAACTGCAAAACCAAATAGACACACCACATCAGTATCATTCTGAGTCTTCTCATTTCCTTCCTTTTAAAATGTGTGTACTAGAAAGGGAAGAGTTATATCAGTTCTTCTTTTGATGATTGTGCTTACAATTTTCCTGGTGAAGGCCTCACATGTCCCAGTTTTGTGGGCTGTGATCTTCCCTTACTTTTTGCTTCAGGGGTTTCTCTTTCCTTCTGGTAGCCAGACCCATGGGCATTGCAGTTTTCCTACTGTCTCAACATAGGACTTCTGGGTGCCAAGCCTGGACTGTATGTATTGCATTCCCCAACTCATGTTGCCTGAAGCCTTTCCAGGAGAGGTTTAGGGGTCAACACAGTGAATTTCACCCTGCTTGGCCTCTCCTGACATGACTGTCTACATTCATGACATCTCTGAGCTCAAGGCTCTTATCTCCTTTTTCTAATTGATATTTCCTGGGTCTGCCAGTGTCATGAATCTAAGTCATGGTCACTGCTTGTGGGGTCCCCCAGGCTATTCCTGCTAGACAGTTTTCTGCAGTTCATTTTGTAATGTTTTGTGATTTTGTACAGGTGAGCTAGTGTGAACTAGTGCTTACACTTTTAACCTGTCCCATCTTTCTCCTGTGACTTGTATCTTCCAGATCTCTTCGGTTTCTGAACTGTAACAGGGGAGAAAAACTCCGATGCTCAACTAAGAGGGTATGACTGTAGCCACAGCACGAGGGGCTTGGACCAGCCTTGGTGAGTGGGTGCTGGGGGAAGGTGTGACCTCGGTGTCATATATGTTCAGACAGTTCCAGTAGCCTGTCCTGTGCTCACCACTGTTTGGTACCAAGTTGGCCTTATTTCTGTCTTTCTCCCTATTCTGAACACTCTTGTCGTTCTTTTCTGACTTCCAAACCAGGGTTGTCCTCCCCTACTCCTTAATAGAGAGGCTCTCTACTGCTCCCTCTGCAGTGATTTTCAATATTGAACTGCACTAATGGGCTAAAAGATGTGCACATATCCTTAAGTAGCCCCTGGACACAGGTTACTCTTTTTTTTTTTTTTTTGGAGACAGAGTTTTAGTTTATCGCCTTGGGTAGAGTGCTGTGGTGTCATAGCTCACAGCAACCTCCAACTCCTGGGTTCAAGCAGTTCTCTTACCTCAGCCTCCCAAGAAGCTGGGACCACAGGCGCCCACCACAACGCCTGGCCATCTTTCTGTTGAAATTTGGCTGGGGTCGGGTTTGAACCTGCCACCCTTCATATATGGGGCCAGCACCCTACTCACTGAGCCACAGGTGCTACCCAGCTTACTCATTTTTAATCAAATTTTCTTGGGCCTGGACAAGCATTTCTGTGTAGCATTCACCTTGCCAGCCAACAAAGGCCCTGCCTAAAAGTCATATGCAGAGGATTAAGTTTGAGATCTTGCTTGCCTCTTCCCTTTGTGCTATACCCTATTCTTGTGTCCTTGTTCCTCATGAAACCTTTTCTATTTTATGATCCTTAGATTTTAATACTGTACATCAGGCCTTTGTTCAACCTCACCCTAGCTCTGTTCTTTTTTGTTATTGTTTTGAGACAGAGTCTTAGTCACCTTGGGGTTGAGCACTGTGTCATCATAGCTCACAGCAGCCTCAAACTCTGGGGCTCAAGCAGTTCTCTTGCCTCAGGTGCCTGCCACAATACCTGGCTGTTTTTTTAGAGATGGAGTCTCACTCTTGGCACAGGCTGATCTCAAACTCCTGAGCTCAGGTGATCCATCTGTCTCGGTCTCCCAGTGTTAGGATTGCAGGAATGAGCGACTCTGCCCCGCCCTCTAGCTCTGTTCTGCCAACAATCCCTGGATTCAATCCTGAGTATACTAGACATATATTTGTGGTGGGGTTACCTCCTCCCACCAAAGTATATCAACAATATTTTTCTGTCTTCAGGTTGTTGGCGTGGGGTGGAGAATGAAGAGGCACCTTCTGAACAGAGCATATCTGAGGTGTCACATGCTAATACTTCTAAGGCAGGTTCATCCACCCAGACACCTCACTTTTGTGACATATGTGGCCCCAACTTGAAAGATACTTTGCACCTAGATGAACACCATGGAACACACCACGGACTGAAACCTCACACATGTAGGGCATGTGGGAGACAACTCTGGTTCAGTGCAAACATGCATCAGCAACATTACAGTGTGGAGAAACCCTTAAGAAGGGATGATGGTGAGGCCTCATTTGTGAAGAACTGCACAGTTTGTGAAGAACCTCACCTTTCAGAGAAGCCCTTTATGTGTGAAAAGGCCCAAAAGAACTTCACGGCTAGTTTGGGTGATCACCAGCAAAAGGCCTCTCATTGCAAGAGGAAGACATCTAGGAGCACTGAGAATGGGGAGGATTTTCACATTGGACAAATGCATTACAAGTGCAGTGAGTGTGGAAAAGTGTTCAGCCGCAAAGACACACTTGTCCAACACCAGAGAATCCATAGTGGAGAAAAGCCTTATGAGTGTAATCAATGTGGGAAAGCTTTCAGCCGCAAAGCCACACTTGTCCAACACCAGAGAATCCATACTGGAGAAAGACCTTATGAATGCAGTGAATGTGGAAAAACCTTCAGTCGAAAAGATAACCTTACTCAGCACAAGAGAGTTCACACTGGAGAAATGCCTTATAAGTGCAGTGAGTGTGGGAAATACTTCAGCCATCACTCCAACCTAATTGTACACCAGAGAGTTCACAATGGAGCAAGGCCTTATAAGTGCAATGATTGTGGGAAAGTCTTTAGACACAAATCCACACTTGTTCAGCATGAGAGCATTCACACTGGAGAAAATCCTTATGATTGCAGTGATTGTGGGAAATCTTTTGGCCACAAATACACGCTTATTAAACACCAGAGAATTCACACTGAAACAAAGCCTTTTGAGTGTACTGAGTGTGGGAAATTCTTTAGTCGAAGTTCTGACTTTATTGCACACCAGAGGGTTCACACTGGTGAAAGGCCTTTTGTGTGCAGCAAATGTGGGAAAGACTTCATAAGAACCTCCCACCTTGTTCGGCACCAAAGAGTTCACACTGGAGAAAGGCCGTATGAGTGCAGTAAATGTGGGAAAGCCTACAGCTTAAGCTCCCACCTCAATCGACACCAGAAAGTTCACACTGCTGGCAGGCTTTAGGAATGCTTTCAGTACAAGATTCATCAGTCAGAAGTTGAACCTCAGACATCTGAACATTGACAGGAGGGAAATACCTTATGAGTGCTAGGTACATCAGAAGCTTCCAGAGAATGTGTTGCACTTTCTGACCTGCTCAGGTTTCTTGCCAGAGTTATGTCACTGTCAATGTTTATGGGTGAAACCGTCTTAACTCTTAGCAGTTTGGTCACCCTAATATCTTTATAGAAGGCAGGACTTTGTACTCTCTCCAGTTCCTTAGAGAGAATCATTAGACATTTGAGTTTACTGTGAGTCTTCATGCCCACCTCTGTTTGGTGTAATTGTGGACATGACCCATCTTGAGCCAAGAGGACTTGAGCTATATTGTGCTAGTAGCTTACAGAGGTTTACTTTCTTCATGGACTTTACTGGCTGTAATACTTGGGATGGATTTTTCCAGTCTCCATGTTACCTGGCCTGAGAAAATACTTGCCTCTTACTGCTTTGTTTGTGATAATAAAGGCCTTATAGTTTAAGCTACTTTTAATCTTGGGGGTTCTTTTCACTGTCTGGAATGGATTGAAAATAGACTCTGTGGGGGCTTCCTACTGTATGTGCCTCAAATGAGGCAGTGGGTTGGTGGAGAATAGTTATGAGTCCAGTTTTGGTATTAAATTCCATTGCTGACAAGAGCTTATTAGGTAACAATTTAGATCTTCGTGGGGCTGATTTGTCTGGATTTATTATGTGAGGGGGCACACATCATGTTGAGGCTGCAGCTGTTGTGACAACCTACAGGGCATTTGGAAGCAGCATGATTGGGTATTTTGTTTCCAGTATATGTCCCATATTCTCAACACTGTTGAGAGAAAGCCATCCCTTACGACCTGCTGAGTGGCTCTATTCACTGAAGGTCAAAATCTGGCACACAGGTTACCACTGATGGTAAGACCTAATGCATCTAGGAGGAAAATGAATTTGATATGGAAACATTACATATGAATAATTGGGATTGGGGGAGACTGCTGCAAACTAGAGGGGAAGTGCCCATTGTAAAATCACATTCAGAAACATGTTAGTCACTGGCTTACGTATGGGATCAGGTGTATTGAAATTCTTAAGATCACCAGGGTTGTGTCACTCTTAAGGTCAAGGTCACTGGTACAGGAAAAGATGTAGTTTTCTTAGATTACTGTGCCTCCCTGAATTCTCTATCTAATGTGTCTGCTGCAAAGGCAGTAAGCCTGAGAGTAAAGAGATACTGGGGTCCAAGGATGTCATTTTCATGAGCAACCGAGCTCCTGGTGATTGTAGGAAATAACCTTTGTTACTTGCCAGTTTTCTTGGTCGTGCAGAAAAGGTGGCCTTCCCAAGGCATTTGGAATGAGGTGGTAGAGTCACTAGTGATGTTTAATTGCTTGGCTTTCCAAAAATGGAAGACCCAGATTTTTAGTAGAATAATTTTGTATAGGTTCTTTGAGGTATAATCAATAGATAACATACTGCACGTACTTTACGTATACCACTTGTTAAGTCTTCACACATTTGATCTTAGCCAAAAGGCCAAGAAGCAATCAGTTAAGTCCTGATATACATATATATCTATAAAACCAACACCCTAGCAATGGTGGTGACCATATCTTATCACCCATGAAGTTAGCCTTATACCCCTTGTAAACCCTCTCTTCAGCCCTTCCTTAAGTCCTTCTTTCCCCTGTTCCCTAGGCAACCACTGAGTACTTTATAGGTAAAATTTGCCTTTTCTGGGCCGCACCTGTGGCTCAGTGAGTAGGGCGCTGGCCCCATACACTGAGGGTGGCGGATTCAAACCCGGCCTGGCCAAACTGCAACAAAAAATAGCTGGGAATTGTGGTGGGCGCCTGTAGTCCCAGCTACTCAGGAGGCTGAGGCAAGAGAATTGCCTTAGTCCCGGAGTTACAGGTTGCTGTGAGCTGTGACACAACGGCACTCTACTGAGGGCAACAAAGTGAGACTCTGTCTCTAAAAAAAAA